ATGATTATTAGGTACTTGAACCCTAAAGCCGACCTGCAACCCTAATTACCTACATACAGCTCTGTGGCTTGTAATCTGCTGAGCTGCAGGCATTCGGGGTAGCAGGTACCGTGCACCCTAAACGCAATTGCCCGCCTGCTGTCGAGGCTCAGGAATTCGGTTGCCAGGCAGACTGGAAACAGAGGAGAAAGGTGTTCAGAATCTCAGGTTGCCCAATTCGCAGGGGCTCGACGACCATGAACATATCCCGTGAACCCTAAACCCAGGCCCTGAAATCTGCGAACCATACTTACTTCGAACCACCTCAGAGCTGTAAGGGAATCAAAGAGCACCGTGTGGAGAAACTCCGAAAAAGGGACTGCTCGTCTGTGAGTGTGTTTCTACCGCGCGTATGATCCCGGCGCCTAAGCCCGAAAACTTAAAAACCTGAGCGGTAAATCCCCAAACGCTAAACTCTTAAGCTCAGATACCTCCAGGACCCCTCCCAAGTACCCTTAAAAGGGTCTATAGAGGTAGTCTTTATGGGTATTTGGGCTCTGTAGAGGGCACTCTGAGCCCCATAAACCCTAACGCCTAAATCCTAAAACCCTACGTCCTTAATCCTAAAAACCCAAACCCTAAACCCTAAACCCGTTTGGGGGTGGTTCTATGGTAGGCTTGGTGCTGTCGGGTTCCCGCAGCGAAGGAGCGCACGGAAATCTACCCACCAAACAGCCAAAGTGCGCTCATGATTTAGGGTCTTTGATGGTTTTAGGGTTTAGGGTTTTAGGTTTTAGGGTCTTAGATGGTCTTAGTCTTAGGGTGAGGGTCGTAGGGTTTTTTTGGGTGCAGGCCTAACCTGAACTCAAGAAACCCTGACCCCCAGACCTCAAACTCTAAAATCCTAATCCTCCAGCCCTTTTGCCGAACGCTAAACCTAAATCCCAAACTTGCCCTTCGCGCTTGAAACTCAAAGTGACCAGCTTGTCCCGCAGGAACCCTGCCCTTGAATCCGGTGAATGAGCCCTGTCTGCGGTTTGAGGTTTAGACTTGGACCCCACAATGTATGCAGAATAATGGCCTTTGTGGCTGACAAGGTTAATGTAGACCCCTTATTGATAAACCCCCTCCTTTTAAGGGCCTTAGTATAAGGATCCCTGTTATAATCCAAATAAGGGGAGGAGGTTTATTAATCAGGGGTCTGGGTTACCAAAAAAGCTACTCTTGAGCCTCCGCCTCCACGAGTAATTACTTAGAGTAGTGACGTCCAAATCCTGCCAGAACACAGGTAATTCAACGCAAAGTTCGTGTCAAGCGAAGGCAGCTCGTGAATCTCGTTACGCTCCACGTTCCTCAAACGTCCGCAATATTGGTCGTAGACTTCAGCATTTCGGAGCGACTTGTTTCCCAGCTTGATTGCTCATTTTGTCGCTAAACAGGAGCACGAAATCCCCAATACTGTAGACCTTTTGCACAAAAGACATCAAGTCTTGTCTCCGAGGCCCCATGCTTGTTTCGGCGTGCTACGGTTCAAGATTGGGGGTTTCCGGCCCTCCGAGGCTCGACAGAGGAACATATTTATAGGCAAGCACTGCGCTACAGAAATAGATTTGGATGACTTAGCCGCGGTAGTTGTCGTTGCGAATGGGAGAGCAGAAGTGACATTCCCCGGGCAGTATGGCCCTTAATTGCAAGTAGGAGGGCATTCTCAAGAAGAGCCTATCAAAGAAGCACCGTTGCTTCTATATTCTATACAGCTTGATAGCAGGCAAGAGCCTCCTACTGTTGTTACAAAGGCTCCCGCATGACCCCAGTACATTAGAAGACCCCAATTCCCAACACATGAGATACTTAGCGCCATGCAGGATGTCTATGACCGTCCGTATTTGTCCGTCTAAGTACCTGGATGAGGCTCTATGTAGCCGAATGTAGCCCTACTAAGGCTACTTGGGTTGTCTATATAGTGTCCTAGTCCCTAACCTGTGGACCGTTTCGCCTTCGAAGCGGTCCCTGGAGGCATTAAGAACCGGTCAAGGCTAAGGGCATGATAAGTTCACACAACCAAAGGCCGATATAGAGAACATCCCTGGACAGTACATCCACTCACGAACACAAGAACCCCTATCTCAATAACCTCCGCCAAGAGCACCAACTTCCAGAAGCACCGGAAATCCTCATATAAGTCATCACACCAAAAAAATCCTTAGAGTCCAAGGACTCAAAAAACCCTAAACCCTAAACCGTAAATGGTTGATCAGGACCCCAAATGCCATAATGTGAATGAATGGTACTTGAAACCTAAAGCCCTGGGTCCGTGGACCCGTATGGAAACACAACACTCCTAAACGATTCAAGTCACAAGTACTAAGGGTTTAGGGTTTGGGGTTTGGGGTACTAAGTGTAGTTTAGGATTTCGGACTTTCCGGGAAGAACTCTGCGGTTGTCAACTGCCCCAGCCCTTTGATACCGCGGCCTACAACAGTTCCACTATGGCTCCTAGGGACCTTTAAGGGAATATACGGGACATATATGGGTTATTTAGGGTTACACAAGGTTTAGGGTGTCCCAAAATAAGGGCCGATTACCTTTCTTTGGGGTCCCCATCATATATAAGGATTATTGCATTTCTGGGTCTATACTGGAGTATCCCTAGTCAGGGGAAAACACTATGCTAATGATCTCAACAGTATACTGTTCATGAGCATCCAGTACAATATGTGACCGTTTGTGTTCGTGGGCCGCATCCAGGTCAAGACTCACCCTAAGGGTCCAAGGACAGGGCTTGAGGTCCCAAACCCTAAACCCTAAACTTAAACCCTAAACCCCATTCATATTACTCTATTTGAACCCTAAAACCCTATTATTTGGGTCCATGGACCCTTAGGGTCTACCATGGTTTAGGGCTGATTATTCATGGTAGGTTTAGGGTTTAGGGTATAGGGTATAGGATTTGGGGTTTAGGGTTTGTAGGTTTATGGGTTTACCTGTAAATCCAAGTACCTACAGCTCAGTGGCTATAACCCCTTCAACTGTGGGTATTTGGGGTTACAAGTCTAACGTTTAAGGTGGATTTGGGATTTGGCGATTAATGGAAACCCAGGTACAAATGCTGCAAGTGAAGGTTGTTGTGCAGGAAGGGCAGCTCGCACAATTTGTTCTCCTGCACCTTGCAGGAAACACGAACAAGGTTTAAACCACGACGTCTAAACCCCCAACCCTTAAACCTTCACCTAAACCCCAAAAAATTACTTGAAATCATAGGCCTAAACCCATACTAGCAGCCATAAAGGCGATTGTTCTACATACTTTTGGGGTCCAGGTAAACCTTAATGCCTACACCCTAGACCCTAAATGCCCTCAACCCTAAACTGTGGTATTCCAAGTCTCTGGCCCTGAACCCTGCACCCTAAAATCTACTGAGATCATACTATAGGGATTATGTGTATACATATATATATAGATATGGGTTATATGAGGGTTCTACTCGGGTTGTATAGGGTATATATTGCGGTTATAACCCTGTATTTCTGCAGCCATTTCGACAGCTTCCAAAAAAGTGAGACCCGCAAAGCATCCACCAAAACAAGGGATGCCCTGCAGAAAAACACTTTCAAAGATGGGAGCACTTTTTCTCGGAGTTTAGGGTCTCCTAAACCCTAAACCCTAGGGATTAGGGGAGCTGCGGGGCTCTGGAAATAAGGGATGCTCCTTATCGCCAAGCGTTCAGGGGCAAATTTAAGTCAGGGCTTAGAGGGGCTCAGGATATAGTGCGTCAGGTTGAGAAATGGAGCTGGCTGCAACAGAAGCTCAAGTAAGCTACCATAACATGTATGAATGTATATGTATGTATAGCAAAGAAAAAGCGTCCTTGACGATTTCCTGCTTGGCAGGTTATGAGAGGTAAACAAGTAAGTTATATAAGCCCTATAACCCATGCAATAACCCCAACTATCCCCATTATTAACCTACTTACTAAGTCCCCATGACCCTCCAAGTAGAGCCCAGGTACCCCAGAGCCAAAGTACCCGCAAGTAGGACCGTTACATACACCCTGTTCATGGGTGGTTCTGGCCTGAAACCCCAAAGTAGGTAAAATACGAGCCCGAAAACCCTACTCTAGATATTTTGGGGGTCCAGGTGGTCCCAAGGCACGTCTAGTACCAGCAAATCGCGGTTGCTGGAGAGATCTGGGAGCTTGCGCAGAGAATTGACGCGCACGCGAAGCTCTCGCAGCTCGACCTTTAAACGCTACGTGGCACTGAGGACCCCTATGACGGGTTTACCCCTGGGTACCTACAATAGGAGTATACAGGAATCCCCAAGGTTTAAGGGTCTTAGGTCCAAGCTGAATCCCAAGGAGTAAGTTTTAGGCTTGCTTGATAGTAAGCATGGGGTGTAGAGTTTGGGAAGCCTGAGTAAACATACTTAAAACCCCTGTAAGACATACAGTAACCCCCGTCATCCCCACTATCAACCTACTTGCTAAGTCCCCCGACCCCCAAGTGGGGCTTTTAGGTCTTGGGCCCAACAGGGCAGGGGACTCCAGGTTTTTTGGCGGAGTTGCCAACTAAAATCGTTTTCACCTGACCCCAATGTAGAATAATGGCCTTCAGTGGTTTTGAACCTTCATGTTACCTACTTTTTGGGGTCTAGGTTCGGGGTCTTTAGGATTCAGGGAATTCGAGTCGTCAGCTCCGGAAGCTAGAAGGACTTTAGGTGTAGCCAGGCTTTCTTCACTTTTGAGTTTAGGGTTTAGCTGCATTTTGTGGGTTTTTGGCTTCTGAGCTTCAGCTACGATATCGTAAGTAATTGAGGTTACGTGTGGGGTTTAGGGCTTATTGGTTTGGCTTATGTTTGCGAGGCCATGATTACGACCAAGGAGTCGGTGGCATCTCGACAACTTGCACCCTTATCAGCTTCCTGCTAAGAACTACGGTGGATACTAACACTCCTGCATGACCCAAGAGTACCTTATACCCTGGGAATTGTGGCACCACAGTATTCCCAGGTCATGCAGGATTTCTAGACTTGCTGTGCGCAAACCTTTGTTTACATTCACATGCATGTATACATGGGCGATGCCATCGCTTGAGACATGGCCGGATACTAAAACATCAAGAGTCAGCACCCTTTCGCAAGTAGCGGAGAGCGCCTGAGTGGAAATTCTACAATTGATCAAAGCTCCCACACATGGCATCTAACCTTAACCGCATATCCGTGGTGAACGCCCTGAGCCCTTGAGGGATTATACAACTAGCCAGTCTCATCCAAATTCCCTCAGTACAAGGGAAATATCAGGCCCGACAAAGTTGCAAACAGGTCTAAACGAGGCCGGTTCCTGTTGATAAAACCACCCTTGCATGACTGCGGTATACTAAAAACCAGAACTCCTCAACTTTGAGATAGTTGGGGTCAGGAGTTTGCAATCTTCTGTCATGTTGTTTGTCCACAATGTACTTATTATTCGTTCACCACACGAAATGCCCTGTACTCTGAGTAACAATGGCAGATATTGTGTAGGTCACATAGTTGAAGGTTCAGGATAAGAAGGCCCCAAAGATGGATCGAACCATAGTATGCCTATGCAAGGGGGGGGGGGTAATTTCAGATGTTCCTCTCAACCAAAAAACAGTGCTGAAGAGAGTCAGCTAATGTAACAGGAAGGGCCCCAGCCGCCTGCGGTAACTCCACACTCGACAGTAAGTACACACTTGCGAACAACTCAACTGGGATTCTGCAATGCAATCTCGGCATACTAGAGCAAGATCCTTGCAGGACTACAGCCATAGTGGCCCGCAAACGGAGGTCCAAGAAAGAGAAGTGCAAAGGTCTACGGTAGCTAATGTACCCCTGTCGGCCAGGCCACCATGTGGCTGAGTGAGGGAAGCTCTTCCAGCTGGTTGCGCGACAAAAACCTTGGTTGCTCCCAACGCCTCCCAAGAAGGTTTGACTTTAGCCCTGTGGAAACACAAGAAAGCACCAAACGTGTTAAAGTGCTGAAGCTGTGGGCACATCTTCCGCCAAGGAACAGGTATTGCATTTTCACCTCGTCGGAATTATTGTGGCTTATGCATCTCCCGCACAGCTACGGGTGTTGGTTGTCCCATTTTAATGACTCCCCACAACAAGGAAACAAGGACTGCAATGCCTGGAGGGAAGCGCCCCCCTGTGGCTTCAAAAGGGGGCAGATGCGATCAATGTTTCTTGGAGGTTCAAGGCAGTCATATCCCAACTCTAATTTTAGCCAGCAACTTGTGAACTACTTTGAACCTCGAATTAAAGTAGAGTTTCTGGACTCCCGACTTGAGGTCGGTTGATATTTGGTTGTGTGGGGTGTAGAGTATAGGGTTGTGGATGTGAGGTTTCGGGTTCTTGGTTGACAGGGTTTAGGGCTCTAAAAGGGGTTGCAGGCTCAAAAACTATAAGTTTGATCTTCATTGCGGCTCCGACCGAACATATGACTGCCCGGAAGAACCTGTATGTTGGGATTTTCGGATTTGCTGTTAAAGGCTGAGATTTCGCAAGTAGCCTTCTAATAACTGAGCGCCACAAAAAACACACACACACACACACACACGCGCACACACACACACACAGTGTCTTGTTAAAAAAAATCTGTGAGCCTTCTAAGATCTTAATTTCAAGTCTAGTCCTCTTGAGAACCCTATGGCACCCCTGCAAATCCAGTAAACCCTAACTCCACCCCAGACCCTATAGACTCTAAACCCAAAATCCCGAGCCGAAACCCTACTCTCGCTCTTCTGCGAAGCAGGTGGCATTGTTTGCCAGGGAGGGCAGCGTGCTGTGCTTCCAGCATCGATGCAAGTTAAGCAACTCCAGCGACCTGGCAGTTTCTCTGTTGGTTAGGGTTTACAGTAAGTGTTTAGGGTTTGGGATTTAAGGCTTTGGGTCTTTCGGACACTCTAAAGGACTTCAGGTATGGGGGGGGGGTCCGAAAGTAAAGGTGCCCTTGGGGGTCTCCAGGATAAACATACACTTACTGCTGCTGGAAACTTCCGTATGATTACACCAGCAAGAATCCCAGGGAGCCAGAATTTTGGACAGCGCCCTGGGCCGGAATCTACATGCGCACACCCTTTCCAACACCAAAACGCGGGCCTCACGCCCAGAGTCATGTTGCATTCACTTTTGTGAAGAGACCCCGTTTAATCTGTTTTCGCCGCCGCTGATTCAGGATCTGGCCATTGTTGGGAAGACCTTCTTTAATACGTTTTGGTTTTGGGTGCCCTAAAAATACGGGACCGAATCCAGACCATCCTTTTTAAAGTACTGTACTCCCCAAGGCCTCCCTTGGCTCTCAGTACCGTAGGACCCTTATTCAAAGTCTCTAATTTCTATTTTTCTGGCGGCCCCATGTGGGGGGGTGGGGTGATTCCAACATGGTACTGGAGTCTTGGTCTCATGCGCTGCAAAGAAGAGGCCCTGACTTCTTCAGAAACTAAACCAAGCCGTGCATACTCCTCAACCCCTGACCTAGTGTATCCGAGCACTCCCGCTACATCCCTTCAAAAGGGAAAACCTCTGAACTTTGGAGTCCCCCCGTCATTGGGGATCAGAGGACCATCTCAAGCGTGCATCTTAAGGGTTTAGGGTTTAGGGTTTTAAGGATTGCATCATTGTGGCGACTTTCTGGATTTCCAGGATTTGGGGTTTACCTGGACCCCAAAGGTCGGTAAAAGAATGGCCGAGCACCCATATAAAAAGGCAATGACTTTACATACTTCAGGGGTCCTCCCTGTATAACTCTATATATCCCCTATATAACTTATATAACCCTTTGGGAGGTTAGGGCTGAAGTTTTGGGAGGTGTCAGGGTTTCAGCGATGTTGAGGCTCTGGGCTTTGAGTTTGGGGTTTAGAGTTCAGGCCCCTCACAGCTTTCCTGGCTGGGCTCCGTTAGGCTTGAGGGTTTAGGGATGAGGGCTTGGGGTACAATAATTGGTAGCCGGACCCGAGAGAATTTAGAGTGGCAAAGAAGATGGATAGTAACATCGTAGCAGGCTTCACATACGGGTTATAGATGGGACTCTCGTATCCCCTAATAGTAAACACGCGCCCCCTGGTATTGAATGTTACCTATATTCTAATATACCACCGTGGGACTATTTTGTGTTAGGGGCTCGGGTTGGGAGGCGTTCAAATTTTAGGGGCAGGTGATTAATAGGTATGTGAATTCCATTCAGTGAGGGAGAAAGACAGGGTAGTTGGCCTTGACGCCTTCAACATGGCTTCAAGCAAATGCCAGTCCTGAAATACAGGGTCAGCGGGAACTTGTTGAGTAGGTTATACGAAGGTGAGGGGGGGGGAACTGGGCTACCATTATGAGGCTGTTCTAGGTCATGAGTGGTAATTTCCCTAAATAGGGGGACCCCAAACATAACCCGCAAATACTATAATCCTTATTATAGGGACCCCAAGAAGTTACCCCTAATTTTGGGAACCCCCCCAAGTATTTATAGAAAACAAATTATGACATGCAGGGTGGAAAGTTTAAAGGTCCAAATTGCTAGTGTTTAATTGACGTAGGGCTTGGCTGAGTGTGACAGTACCCGTTTTTCCCTAAAGGTCATTGAATAAACGTAATGTACCACATATATATATACATACCCCAAGGCCCCATTCATCTGAAGTGCTACTTATTACGAAGCCTCCTACTACTACTACTACTACTACTACTACTGCTACTGCTACTGCTACTGCTACTGCTACTGCTACTGCTACTACTGCTACTACTAACATCGTTGCTGATATTCTTATTCTTATGATTTCTGTTACTATTAGTACTAGGGTTCAGGGCTTCCAGCCTCGCTCCCTCTAAACAAACACTGAGCGCTGAAAAGGACAGCAATCTTTCTACGGTGCATGATGAGAATCCTGCATGAGGTCAGTATACTTCAGGGCTTGAGGTGTATGCTCAGGGGAAAAACTGTGTGAAAGGTATGGGGCACTTGGGGCCATGCAGGCTTTGGAGAAACAAGTGTAGGGAACCTTGTCATGGAAGATGTCCATGCTGGCTTGCGGCCCTAAACCCTAAACCCTAAACCCTACACCCTAAACCCTAAACCCTACACCCTAAACCCTAAACCCTAGGGAGGGTGGGAACCCTAAACCCGTGGATGAAGCCCAGAACTTCAAAGAAGGCCTCAACATGGGTCGCCCCACAAAAAGCCTTCCCCAGGAAGTAAAGCTCTCCCCTAATGAACAGCGTCCCTGGTAGAG